GGAACCGACTCCATGGCACATAACAACAACAACAACTTTATATTGTTATACAAAGTTAACTATGTTCTTGCTAAGATTTTTTCAAACTATGTCTTTCCTACTTATTCATCTAACATTTTTTATTGAATGATAGTGATATTAGATCTATTCTTTTTAAGATTTCTTTACTTGGAATAATAGAACGTTAGCAATATTATGTCAGCTTTGTTTTGGGGGGAACTTGCTCGTGGGAAAACTGGAAAAGATACCTCAATATCCAGAAATTTTTACCAGAACTAGGTAAATAATGAATAAATAAAAATTTAAAGCAATAAATAATATTTTAAAGAAATTATCAAATTAATTGTCCATTGGAAAAAGATGAAGTTAGATTTTGAGATTCGTTTATATGTATGTTTGGCAAACAGCTGTTGACTCCACATTGAAGACCTGTGTTACACTGTTTCCCAAATGTACTAATTAACAGAAGACTCACCTGAGTTCTTGTCACGCAGAGATTCTTAGTGGTGGAGCTGTAGATCTAGGAACACTGAAAAAATGCTGCTTTCAAAGATATAAAGTGTATTAGATTTTTCCTATGCCTTTGAGCAATTTATAATCTATCTTCCTTATCTCTCTAAACCTCATGTTGTTTTTGTATTGTTTTCTTTTTATCTGTAAAATGTAGATAATAAATATTTGGCAGTGTTGAAGGTAAATCAGGTAATAGGAAAATACCTTCAGACAGCTTCTGGAGCTTACAAATCAATTAAAATTTATCATTTTAATTGTGTGTATATTGGGGTTGAAAGTCCTGGTGTGGTGCGGTGGGTTAATGCGTCAGACTGCATAGCCGTTTGAACTGCAATGTCGACACTTTAAGCTCACCAGCTGCTCATCAGAAACCCTATACAGGGTCACTATAGGTTGGAAGCGACTCGATGACACTTAACAACAACAACATACTGGGGTTGGACTTCTAGTGTGGCACTGTAAGATCAGCACTGGGCTGTGAACCACAACGTTGGAGGTTCAAACCCACCAGCTGCTCCTCGGAAATTCTATACAGGGTCACTATGAGTTGGAACCACCTCAGTGGCACTTAACAATAACAACAGCATATTGGGGTTAGTGTGGGGAGAGAAATGGAGAGGATTCAATGAGTTTAAAAACAACAAATCTCAAAGTTATATTTCCCAAGTTTACAACCTGGATGTTATATGATAAGAGAACATGAAATATTTCTTTATGTATATATTTTGCTTTTCTTATTATTTTCTTGTTAATCCAGCTATTCATCTTGACTCTGATATATCAACCCATAAACTCATACCTGTACAAGTTAGATTAGGTATTTATTTGACTTCACTATTAGGAGTCCTGGTGTGGCTCTGTGGGCTAAAACTCTGGACCACAAGGTCTGTTTGAACCACAAGGTCAGTGGTTCAAACTCAGTAGCCGCTCCTTAGAAACCTTGTAGAGGGTCACTATGATTCAGAACTGACTCTGCTGCACTTAACAACAACTTGTGTTCAGGAGTCCTGGCATGACGCTGTAGGATAAGCAGTAGACAGCAAAGTTGTTTGAGTCTCAAGGTTGGTAGTTCAAACTCAACCAGCCATTCCTCGGAAACACTACACAGGGTTGAGTTGTGTCGGAACCAACCTGATGGCACTTAACAACAAAACTTGTGTCCTACCTAAGTGTTCTACATTCTTCCAAGCACCTTCCTTTTAGAGTGAAGGTGTTTGCTGAATGAACTGATAGAGGAATGAATCTCTAAATCTAACCCTGTCTCTTTCCAATGGACTATTTGCTTTAAAACCTTCCATTCTGACTTTTCAAGATATTTGACAGAGACAAATAGTGTATCCTTAGTTTTGATAGTTTGTTTTGGTAATTTGTTTTATGGGAGTAAGGAAGATGACAGAGGTTTGTCATGATGCTGTACTTCAGCATATTTCCGTATTTATATTTTCAGACTATTTTTATTCACATAAATAATTGCCTTTTTGTTGTAATTTTTGACTGGGAATAATTTTCCTTTTTGAGACTATTAACTGCTTTCAGTAACTTATTTATTTTTTTATTCATTTAGCAGCAGCAACAGAAGAACCAGAAGTGATTCCAGACCCAGCCAAGCAGACAGATAGAGTGGTGAAAATAGCAGGAATTAGTGCTGGGATTTTGGTGTTTATCCTCCTCCTCCTAGTTGTCGTATTAATTGTAAAAAAGAGGTAAGAGCTGACATTGTCCCGTCCTACTCACTGCAATTTATTTCAATAGTTTTAAACACCATTTTTCCTCAAGATTTTAAAGATTGGAACGAATAAAAACAATGAGTTTAAACAGTATTGCTAGCATCTGAGTCTATTTCTCATGATTGAAAAGAAAATCTTGTTGATGATTTGCAGTTTGATTTTAGATATATGTATATTTCTTTTGTCCTTAACTTTTTACTGTATGTAAGAATGTCAATTTCTCAAATGCAAACATCCTTGAGATGTTAACTATCATACTTGAAGTGTTATTTATTAAAAATGTCAACATATAAGCTTAGTAAGATAATTGGACTGAGGCCTGTGACTTCTTTTGTACTCTTATTCTGTTTTTTACTAAATCTTGGCTTCAAATAAGATACGGAAAACATAAATATTTTTAGTAAAGTTGTATGTTACATCCACTGACTAATATATTCAGCATCTAAAAATAGCCTTTTGTTTTTGATTGAACATTAATCTTTTATACTATATCAACCAACATCGCCATCTTCTGGAATTATATGAAGATGTTTAGACCTACTAAAATTTAAACTGAACACTTTTCAGAGATGAAAGTATCCTACTGCTGAATAGTATTTCAAAGCATGCAATTTTTTTTCTATAATTTGAATTTTTGCCCATTATATAACATGTAAATAATCTGTAAGATGTTGTCTTGGAAAATAGTATATAACTCTCATTCTTTTATTCATGTATTTTGGATAATTTGGAAGGATTTTTGTGTTTTGCTCTTTTAATCTGCACACACAGAGTATGTTTCTAAAACAGCTTTGTGTACAGAAACTATTGTAAATGATGAATTTTATTGATGAATACAATAATTAATACTACATTACATTAAATCATAGAGTTGTTTATTGAGATTATTATCTTAAACTCAAGAGAAAACATTAACATTATAGATAAGAATTAAAGTACAATGTTTTAACAATTCTATCAGAGTTTATTTTAATGTATTGCCTCTTTACAATGATCCCCTGGAGATATATATGTTGGAGAAGACACATCTGCATTAGAAATATTAGGTATGCATTATAGTGTTTTGTGTTAAATTAGCTACATACGCGCTTTCCCCTTAATAATGCTTTCTATTTTCGCTGTTGTCTGCCTCTGTGGTTGGAAAACACATCAGATGTGAGGCAAGAGAATTTAGTGCAGTGATACTAATTTGCCAATAAGAATCATTAAAAACATTGGCTACAACCTTTAGAGCTTATGTATCTATTTAGTTTAAATTTAGTTTTGAAGAGTTAAATAAAGAGTTTAGAGAGGTACTTAAACATTGATTCAACATTAAAAAAAATTTCCCATTTACTTCAGATTGGATGTGCAAGCATGAAAGTGGCTTTTGATTGTGTCCTCAATAAGTTAGGATTGGGTCAAATTTACTGGTTTTGTTTATTTGCTATGTATTTGAAATTTTTGGTATAGAAAGCCCTTTTTATATAGCATCTTGGTGTAGTGATATAATCACTGGGCTACTAACTGAAAAGTTGGAAGTTAAAACACAGCAGAAAGATGAGGGAGCTGCTTCCACAAGGATTTGCAGCCTTGGAAACTATGGAGAAGTTCAGACTGTTCTGTACGGTAACTGAGTAGGAATCGACTCTATAGCATAGGCTTCGTTTGTGGTTGGTTGTTGTTGTCAAGTGCTGTCAAGTTGGTTCCAACTTATAGTGACTGAGGGTTTCTGAGGAGTGGTTGGTGAGTTTGAATCACTGACCTTGCAGTTCAAACCAACTTTGAGGTCCAGTGCTTTGTTTATTTAGGTAATTCCAAAGCCAAACAAAATAGGAAATTAAAAACTCTAAAGTACAAGGTCGGCGGTTCAAACCTAGCAACTGCATCTCAGAAACTCTTTACAGTGTAGCTGAGTCAGAGCCCACTCAACCACTTCCCAACAACAAAGTACAATGCAACAGTCACCAAGCAGCATTTTTTCTTTTCTTTTTTAATCCCGGGAAGGAGCAAAATTTCTGATAGCTCTCTAAAACTGCATAATGTAACAAACTCTTATTTTTATGGTTTACATTTTAAAAGTGGTTTGTTGACTGAGCTTCTATTGAAATGGTTAATGTTTGATCCGTTTTTATAGTTGTGTTTTAATTGTCTTTAGAAGAAAATTAATGCTTTGGCTTTTGTTTCTCTTCCTTGTCAACATCGTATTGCCAGGGAAAGTTGCAACTATGTAGATAAAGTTCCATGTTTAGATATGTTGCCTTCAATACATCAAAATTACATGAACCTCTTATTTACATAAGCAATATTGCAATTATTTTTGTTCATATGTAGCATGGATCACACTTAAAGTATTTAATCACTAGAATAGGTGATACGGGTGGAGCTAGATAAGCACTAGATTACTCACCACCAGGTCAGCACTTCACTCTGTGGGAGACAGATGAGGTTTTCTGCTTCCAAAGATTTACAGCCTCAGAAACCCTATGAAGGGTCACTGTGAGTCAAAAATGACAACATATAACAGCAACAACATGTTTATTATACATACATAAAAACATAGGCATTATGTGATTGGATATTATCAAGTTAAACTAAGCAATGTTAGTGTATATTATAATTTCCTTTTTAATCTATATATCTGTAGCTAGAAGAATGAAAAAAATAAACTCTTTTAACCTCACATTTGTACTTTTATGGGAAATTGTTACATTTCTCAAATAAGATTATCATCATTAGAAATTATATACAGAAATATATTTTTGTGTTGAAAAAGGTTTTGTGTATTCCTGGTTGTTTTGAAAAGAAATTATTTGGACTTGAATGTAGTACAATTTTATAGCTAAGGCTATACATGAAGCACATTTTTAGACCGAGAAAAGGGATGTCGCATCTTTCAAAACGCAATGTCATCTATTATTTTTTTTGAATTGCTGTTTAGTTATTCAAGTGTGTGCCATTTTTCATTGGTTATGCATTGCTTTATATGCACAGCATGAACACATTAATATTTCCAGACATCAGAATCCGAAATTGTTTCAAAACAGTAAATGTGTATGATACTATGTTCACATACATCTACTGTAAGAATGTCTTTTTGTATGTATAGTGTATGGTGCATAAGTATAATCATACAGCATATGTATGTACCTGTGTGCCATTCAGATACATTGACTTGCTGATAGAAAGTTGGGTGTCATTCTGCTTCCATTATACATTAATGTAATAGATCTTTATGTTTTATATCTAAAAAATTAACCTATTTAATGTACAAGTACTATACACAGCTATTCCATCTGTCATGACATTTAGATGGTAATGGATAATATTATGCTTAACTGCATGTTGAAAATACACAAGCCATTTAATTTTTCTGTTTTTTGGCAGTAAAAAATATCAGCATGTTACTTTTTTCCCAAACTGTGTATTAAAATTTTTATTTTTCTATTGCATATCTGTCTGTTTAATTGCATGGCAAAATAAATCTAACCAATGCATGATCAAACTGAAATGCAAACCAAAGAAACATGAATTTTATTTTATTTTATTTTTAACGCACATTTTTTTCTGCTTTATTGAATGTGACAGAGTCACGCTTTTCATTCACCATTGCTTCTCTTTTTCCACTGTCTGTGATTTGCTTGCCAGGAGGAGCTACTATTCTTACTCCTACTACCTGTAAGTAGAAAATGGGTGATGTGCAATGAGACTTTACTTGTGTTAAAGATGCAGTATCCCTTTTCAAAAAACAAAAACAAAAAGGGCAACAACAATAACAGAGAATGTTTGCAGTATTGGTGGCATTAAAAATTTTTTTTCAACTCTAAAAGAGTAACTTTTATTTATTGCTTATTTTACTAATCTTTTTAAAAAGGGATATTGTATTTCTGTATGTTGAGCTGCTTTTAATTTTTATTTGTAATTTTCCATAATTAGCTTTAGTCTACAGCCAAAATCATCATTTATTTACACTTGTCAAACGGATACCTTATTCTAGTAATGTGAGAATTCACACCTCTGGTAGAGATAGTGGTTGTAACTCATTTTTATGTAACACGGTTATATTTGGCAAAATGAGTGGAGTGATGCACTCACAGAACATTCAAAATGCATTCAGGATTTAAATTAGGTCAGGTATGCATATGGTAACATCTCTCTCCACATTTCTAGGAATCCAGGATGGGTTCAACTTCAGAACATCCTTGGTCTGGTCATCAAGGCAATTAGTATGTTCTTGTAAAAACAAGTGGATTCAATCATAGTATTGTAGCAATATGCAAATGAAAATGATTTCTAGAGCAAAACAGTGGGTTGGTGTATTTCACTACACACACACATATTGGTTTCACATTTCTGCTTTTCTCTTCCCGAGGCTGTGGACTTTTACTAGATTTTGGTATGGAATGCTATTTTAGATAAGGATGAAGAGAATTGTTTACTCTACTTCTGGAGTTATTTTCAGTGTATCATCCTAGATGCCAGGGTAGTTATTCATCTAGTCCAAAGGAATGTTGACTAATACTTGATCCACCAACTTCTCAGGTTTAAGGACTGAAACTATATATGTTTAGAAAGTGTATTCCACAGTATCTGTATCACAAGATAAAGAAGCTTCATAATGAAATTTGGTAAGAATCTCAGTGATTATAACAATTATGTTAGCATTTAAAATATCATAAACATTTGGCTTCCTGAAATCTGCTAAAACAAGCAGGTGTGTACTAACAGTGCTCCTAGCTTATTGTGATGACTCATAACACCCTTGTTAAATCATATCTGATGAAGCCAAAGATAATTAAATGTACTATTTCATAGTGATGGAGCACTTTTTTCTTTATAGTCAATCCATACATCCACCTGCAGAAGTTTATGCTATTGGCTGCTTTGATAATGAAAGTCATCTGCACATCTGTCAAACTCAAGTAGTTGCAAATGAATAGCCTAACTGTCCTGCAGTGTGATTATACAGAGATAAATGGTTGTTCAGGAGTAGATAAAGCATCAGCTACACAAGAGGTCAATAAATATTTAATTCTGAGAATGCCAATAAATGTGCCATTGACCATCAATGTATATGTAGTCTTAGAATGATATTACCTTTCTAAGGACCTTTGGTATCATAGTGGTTATGAATTGGGCTACTAACCTTAAGGTCAGCACTTCGAAATTAGCCAGCCATTCCACTGGAGGAAGGTGAGGCTTTCTGCCCTCCGTAAAGATTTATAGCCTCTGAAACCCTATGCAGGGTCCCTGTAAGTTGGAACTGACTCCATGGCACACAGCCACCACCACCATCGCATTTCTGGTGGATAGATTTTGACAAAGTTGCTGGTTATGAAACTGTTGTGTAATATTTATGGCTACTGGCATTATCAGCCATAATTAGAAAAAGTATTTACAGAGGTATTCTTTGAAGGAGCCCTGGTGCAGTGCACGGGGAAAATGCACTGGACCGCAGGGTCAGTTTGAATCACAAAGCCAGTGGTTCAAATTCACTAGCCGCTCCTCGGAAACCCTTATACAGGGTCACTGTGAGTCAGAGCCGACTCATAGGCACTTAACAACACCAATTCTTTGCAAGTCTTCTAGAACATACATAATGGAGCTAATTTGAATTAGAAATTTATTGTATTTTATTTTAGAAATTTATTTTTATAAATTTAGAGCAGAACTTAAAAGTAAACCAGATATGATCTTTGTGTTAATAGTCACTGGATTGTTATAATTGTCAGTTCTTGATCAAAACACTTAACTCTAATGTTAATTTGTGTTTGTTTTGTAAAGCCTACCTCACAGGGCTGTTGTGGGGATTAAGGTATAAGAAAGGAGCTGATAATTTATGGCTGACAGATCTCAACAAAGGTTATCCTCCTTTGTAATGTGCCAACTAATAATGGTTTATGAATCTGAAAAACTAAAGTCCTTTATTGCTATGAAAAATTTTAACTGTCATGCATTTGACACATCTGTCACTGCTTATTATTACACACTGATGAAACACATATAATTTTTTTCATATTTTAAGACCGTAGTTTAAACTTGTCTTTTCTGCTTGCTGCAAACTGTTCATATTCAAATTTTCAACGTTATTTTGAGTGCATATTTTTATCCAACTCTATTTCAAAATATTTGAGGAATAAATTCATTCTTCTTGCCCAAGAAACAGAGATTGGAAGTTATTTCTAAAACTCTGATTTTGTTGTTTTAAACTTAAAAGTGGCAAATTGTTTGTATTTTGTTTACATTCTTCGCAAATTAGAACAACCAATGTTTAAGTTCTAGAGCAACTAGTTGCTTTATATTGTATTAGTTTTATTGTGGCAGTAAAAAAACCAACAAAACCAAAACATATGTTAGCAACCAGATACAGTGTAATATCTTAGGCTTTGGAACCAGATCACCCGTCAGTGTTTTTTAGATGAATAACCTTAGGCAAATGGTTTAACTCCTTTGAGCCTCAATTAACTCATTTACACAATTAAAAGTCCTTATGTCTTTTTCAGGGTATTGGTCTAAGTTACAAAATGAAATGTGCCAAGGATATAACAGGCCAATTCATCCATTCAACAAGTATCTATTGAGTTTTTGCTTTGTGCCAATTCTAAGAGCTAGTAATGTCCATAGAAACACAGTAGGACAATTGCAAGGATATGTGGTAATTGCTATTAAAAAGAGAGAATATGGTGTTATAAAAACACTTACCAGGGAAAACTATCCTGAGACAACTGTAATAGGATCAGTTAGATAGTACCTCCCTGATAAAGTTATTCTTTAAGCTAAAACAAGTATTAGAAGTAAAAGTAAGTTTTGGGGCCAAAGAACAAACATCCCATATGAAGACCTAATAGAAAGTGAAAGACTACAGGCTAAGTATGACCTGCTGATGTTTAGCTTGACCCATTCAATGTTTCAAAAAAAGAATTAGTTGAGGGGAGGAGTGAAGATCAAGGAATTTAATATACTCAGATTCATAACAGCTCAAAAATTTTTAAAAGTTAGAAGCTCAAAACTGAAACTAGTTACCAATAGTCACTTTGGCCACCAGCTGCCTCTGTGAGCAGTCCTTTAGTCCCTCACAGCACCCACCTTTCCACATGGTGTCTTGCCACGGGCAGCACCACTCACTTACATTACCTGTGTGAAACATACAAGTCCGTGTACAAAAGAGACATAATAGTGTTCTCATTGACTAGAGCAAGTATTGCTCATAAATGATGGTGGCGGTACAGTGATTGTGATGTTGTAGTGGTAGTGATGGTGGTGGTGGTAGTTCTTGTTATATGTTGTTATTGTCTTCTTTTTATTATTACTAACACTATCATTGTTATTATTTCTGTAAAACCCAAGGTCATGTGTCCCCCGAACTTTAGCGTTGACTCTTTCATTCTAGGTGTCAGGTCAGGTCTGTTGTGTTAGCGTGTTGAGTTGTTAAATGTGTAGCACTTAATATTAAGTACTGTAATTCTCAGAGCAGCTTTCAAATCATTAGATTCAATATTTTCAAAACTTTTTATTGTGAAATGAGTGAAGCTTCACAGATTAGATTTATTTTTAATGAGAAAAATTTGGACATAAACTCAATCTATTAATTGAGTCTTTTGAAAAATATTTATAGTATATTTATTCTCATATAAAGGAGCTCTAGTAACTTATGAGTCAGGTTGCTAACCTCAGCGTCAGCAGTTCAAAACTACCAGCCGTTCTGCTGGAGAAAAATGAGTCTTTATACTCCCATCAAGATTTACAGTCTCGGAAACCCTATACAGGGCCACTGAAATGCCCTATTTTATCATCTGACTAGGGAGTGGTGTTCTTAAAACAACCTAAAACAAATATTTCTAAGGTATCATAAACTGTTGTCCTAAACTTAGAAATATAATATGCTTAGTACAGGCTTTTTGAGTTCCTATATTTGTATCAAATATAAATTGCCTTGCTAATGTGATTTATTTTTTATATACCTTTAATGATTTTTTTCTCATTGCATGTTTCATGTGGAACATTCAAAAAGAACCAAAATAAATTTTATGTTCTTTCTATGGAAGATAAAGACATCAATATGGAGTAATCAAAATTCTCTCTCTATTCCTTTCCAAATCTCATGAGTAAGGCAATTCTGAGTGTATAATTTGCCATGTGGTTATAAAACACATTTTTTAGGATTTTCCCAAGACTGTAATCCATGGTGATTACATTAAAAACAAAAACAAAAACTGTAATCCATAGCACCTTTACATTAAAATTATTTTTCAAATTACTTACATATTTTATCATTTAATTCTACAAATATTCCTGTGCATTTGAATTATGTCTAGCTGTGATTGATTCTGAAACTCTTCAGATTAGTTTTTCATTAAGGTTTTAAGTATATATTACTTAGTAATAGAACACATAAAGAAATATATAACATTTGTCTATTTTGATTGGGTAATTATAGAATGCAAATAGTCATACTATTCTCAAGAGGAATTTCTTATAGTTGATCAGAAGAATTGCCTAAGAGAAAAGAAAAACAAAACTTAGCTTAAAAACTTTCAGCTACTCTACAAGGAAGTGTTTATTAATGACTTTAATAAAATATTGTTAAATTATCTGATATATTCATTTTGACAGCAGAATGAAATATGGAAAATTATAAGAGGCTTGGACTGAAAACTTGAATCTTGAAATAGACATACAACAAAGTAATTCTACCACAACCAAAACTACAACTGAATGTCAACTTTAATTAGTGAAATTATGACTACTTATTAGTGTTTCTAAAGAAAATCCTTATTAAATCTTACACATGCCTATCCTGAGCTACTTACTGCTGGCTTCAACTTACCTTTAAGCCTCACACTAAGGTTTTCATTTTGCTTTTGCCTTGACAGCAAGCTTGCTAAAAAACGCAAAGATGCTATGGGGAACACTCGGCAGGAGATGACTCACATGGTAAATGCTATGGATCGAAGTTATGCTGATCAGAGCACTCTGCATGCAGAAGATCCCCTTTCCATCACCTTCATGGACCAACACAATTTTAGTCCAAGATGTAAGTTCGGAATTAAATTTATGATAAATCATTTCTCAAGTTCACTAAGTTCACTTTGAATTTACACATTACCTTTTTAGTTCTGAGAAAGGGTATAAAAGAGAAGAAAGAAGAAGGTTGAAGCAGAGAAAAAGAGATATAGAATATTATGGGCTCTACAAGGTCTTGATTTCATTTAACTTCAGGTCACAATGATTTTATTACACCATGGGAGATATTTCAAACATCTGTCATTCACATCACATCATGCCATCCATTTAAGTTAAAATACTTACTTGCCTACATGAAATTACTTCTTATATTTCATTTATATTTTTTTCATTTGTATATTCCTTTGTATAAGATAAAGTTCTTTTTGCAGCAGGAGAAAGAATGTAATTATCTCTGGTATTTATTGGCATAAACAAAACTAGCCCACTAAAATATTCTGCTGTGGACTCCTGGAAAATGTCAATAATAAAAAGTTAGGGGGAAAATAATATGTCTTCTAAGGTATATGGTATACATTACAAAGTGTAACGGAATTGGAGGATGGGTAGGACCTGATCAACTCCATCCATCCATCCATCCATCCATCCATCCATTCACCCATCCATATTAAGAATTTCTAATAGCAGTCATTTCAGACAGGGCTTTTAAAATATTCCCAGAGAAGTTCTGCCTAATGATAAAAGATTTGAAGTTGCCCCACAATTAATACTACGGTTTCATTTTCAAAATTCCTCAGCATTTCATATTTTATTCTATAGTGCCTGTGTTTATTTTGATTACTTAAAACTTAAATTACCTGACTTTTGTCAAATGATGCTTAAGGAGGACAAATCATGTTTATCGTATGTCCTTATATACACACGGGCATTCTGCCATAGATCCCAGAGGTACGCTAATCCTGGTTTGAAAGATATGTGTACAAAAAATGAAATAAACAATAGAAATGTTTTTCTATGTCATTTATAAATATATTTAGGGTTAAGGATGGGAACAAAAATGTTTGTAGATTGTGTGTGAGGAGGTTTTTCTGAAATGATCAGTTTAGTGAAACTTTGTAATTATTGGCCATGAACACAGCTCATCATTTCTCCTGGCACATGTCTGCTCCAAATTAGTAGTTAGGACTATTGTATGAGTCATTACAGAACTTAGTTTTCATCATGATAGGGTCTTTCTGATCTATTTTATTTTTATGCCACTGTAAGATAAATGATAGAGAAGAACACAAAATACTATAATTCTTGAAGGTGAAGTTTGCTGAAAATATAGATGTACCATCTCCCTAACCATATAATTTAATATCAAAACAATTAAGGATTGAAAGCTTCTCTCATCTTCAAACTTCTCTATCTATTGTTTGTCTTTAGGACGTGATTGGGAAATTTAAATTCAGTGGTGTGACTATAAATATAACCACTTAAGAACCTGGAGAAAGGAGAGTCTGTGTGCCACAGCTAAATGAAAAAAAAAAAAAATTATGTTACATAAATATGAAATAATTACTTCTCTAAATACCTCATACCTGCTGTATCTACAATATCTTTTTCTTCTAATTTTATAAAGTTTGTAATATATGTATATGAGTTTATAATGTATGTATGTGAGTCAGAGTTGACTTGATGGAACCTAACAGCAGTAATGTAATGTTGACTCTGGCTTTTTGAATTGATAAGTTTTTTGACACATAAATATAAGTTAAGCTAGAAAGAATTTTAACTTTGCAGGTTACAGTAATCAAAGAAAGTTTAATGATTCTTTTTCTTAAGAAAGTATGAAGCTATTAAAGGGTTTAAAACGCAGCTTCAGGGCAGTATATATTCCTTCATGAGCTTTGTTTTCCTACAGTGCCCAATGATCCACTTGTTCCGACTGCTGTGTTAGGTGAGGCCCTAATTCTTTATCATCTGTTTCTGCATGGATAACACCTCCTTGCATGGGTTATAATTTTGTCATCACAATAATTATTTACAGTGTAGGAAGCAGCTTGATTTGGAAAATAAGACAGTCATGCCTTTATCAAAGCGAACAGCTGAGGTCAACTCTGTTGCTTGGTATATTGTTTGAAGGAACCTGTGCTTTAATTCTTCAGGTGCTCTGGTAGCACTGTGGGTTATGCATTGAAATTCACGAAGCCCTCCGCAGGAGAAACATGAGACTGTCTGCTCCCATAAATATTTGCAGTCTCAAAAACTCTTTATAGGGTCGCTATCAGTCAAAATTGACTCGATGGCAGTGGATTTTTTAGTATGCTTTAATTCATAGTTCTGATAGATTTTGAGCAAAAGTACAATGCTTCTTAATAACGTATGGCTGATGTTTTCTATCACTAAGGTAGCAGAATGAACACAAATGTATTAAGTCTCTGGGTTCAGAGTTGCGTGAATAATTAGCTGGCATTAAAAAAAGAAAAAGAAATCTCCCTGAAATAATTTTCTAGATCCTTTTCATTTAAATCAATTAAAGAACATATTTACTAGTGTACATTAGGAGCATGCATATTTGTTACAGATTTGTCTTTATTAAGAAATTAGTAATGCAGGTAAAGTTGATAGAACCTTAATAGGAAGTTCTACATTTTCTGTGAACCATACCATACCATAAGCAATATTTCTTTGAAGAAATTTATAGCTGGCAGATAGTTTTACCTTTATACAATATCTAAGAAAACAGATTTTGCTAGTGATGATTAAGGCCTTTTGGGATGTAAAATTGTACTCATTTATTAATCTATTTTAAAATGTATATGTTTCATTTTCATTTGTATCCCATTTCTTGATTAATTATACACCTAAGAAGATCCATGACCAACTTCCATATAGGTTTTACCACAGTGTTTCTAATGTTCCAGGTTTCATTACAGAATATAGACATTGGCAGATAAACCAATTATAAAAATTCCCAATTCTTTCAGTATTTGTTATCTATATTTAATATTGCTTGTGAGCATTGTTGTTGTTATTAAGTGCCATTGAGTTGGTTCTGACTCATAACAACCCTGGTGGGTTTGAACTGCCAACCTTGTGTTTCAAACCAAACTTGCTGTCCAGTGCTTATCCTACACCGCCACACCAGGACTCAAATCATATATTATTATTATCTATATAGCTATCTATATATTATCTACATAGCTATTATTCATATAATGTCATGTTTGCTGATTTAATCAATGCATAAAGAGCTCTTGGTAGTGTAGTGATTACAAAGCAGGCTGCTAACCTCAGGGTCAGCAGTTCGAAACTACCAGCTGTTATGCAGGAGAAAGATGAGGCTCTCTGCTCCTGTAAAGATTTACAGCCTCGTAAACACTGTACAGGGTTGCTAAGAGTCAGAACTGACTCCACGGCACGTAGCAACAACAACAATATATTAAAAACATAATTACCTTAAGAATATATTTTGGAATAACACAAATAAGTAAGAATGATACAACTAATAGTACATATCTTTCTTCACTAAAATAATTACCTAAAATTAAGTTATATAATTGATGTTTTTGCCATTGTCCTTAAGTGCTGTCGTTTCCAACTCATAGTGACCCTGTGTAGTGTTTCTGAGTTTATAAATCTTTGTGAGAGCAGTTTTGAACTGCCAACCTGTGGTTCCCAGTCCAGTGCTTATCCTCTAAAGCAGGGGTGGGAAATTATTTTGCCTGGCCCTGCCAAGGAGACTGAAGCACCAGCCATCACATTAGGGATGAGTTCATAAATGTTTGACCAAACATAACGGGCTATAATTTTAAACTGATAATTGTTTCTGGCCCACAAATGATGTTATGGATTTTGGCAGAAAAAATGTTCCCCACCCCTGTTCTAAAGTCACCCACTCCCATAATTGTTATGTTGTTGTTGTTAAATGCTATATGGTGAGTTCCGAATCATAGTAACCCTGTATATGGACTCCAAGGAGTGGCTGGTGAATTTGAACTTCCAACCTTGTGGTTCAAATGGACCTTGCAGTCCAGTGTTTTATCTGAGTGCCTCACCAAGACTCCATAACTGATATAAAGGAAATATACTATAAAATAGGAGTCCTGGTGTGGTGCTGTGGGCTAATGCATCAGACTGCAAAGCCATTTAAACTGCAAGGTCGGTGGTTCAAGCTTTCTAGCTGTTCCTTGGAAACCCTATACAGGGTCGCTATGGGTCGTAACTGACTCAACGAAACTTAACAACAACATTATAAAATACTCTAAGAGTCAATGTTGTATGTCTCTCACTGTTTCATACCTTTGATGTTGACACAGTAATGGCAGGAAAGTAAAGTGGAAGGTTTGTCTCATGGTGGTAGTCTAATCATGTAGTGTGGAGCCAGGAACCATGAATATTTAGAAGGTTTCAAGACGGTATCAAACGCCACTGAAAATGTGATCTTCTGATGAACACTGTAAAATTCTGTCAGCCTCAAATGAACAAATAGGAAATATAATTTAACTGAAATATGAAGAAACTCATTGGGAAAAAATTAGTTGCCTAAATGTAAATTTTTATTAAAGTAATCATTTCTAGAAAAAAATCATGTAGTATTGGTTCCAAGTTTTAGTCTCTTTCTAGGCTTACAATTCAAATACTCTCTGTGCTTCCTCATCTGTAAAACACTCTAGTAATTAGTAATCTCTACCAGACTTTTTACACAGGGGTTTGTAAAGACACAGTGAGATAATATATATGAAAGACTTTTACCAACTGTAGAGCTTAAAAGATTATTTTAATAATTTTCCTTGTGAGAAGGGACATGTATGTTTAAGGAAGGGGTCTCTGGTATAGCGATATAGATTCATCACTGGACTGCTAACTGCAATGTCAGTGGTTCAAATCCACCAGCCATGCTTAGGAAACCCTATAGAGGGTACCTGTGAATTAGAATCAGCTTAACAACAGCAGCAATGTTAATGGTAATGAAGTCATTGATTTCATTCATAAAACAATCACACATTTTATTTCATTTTGAAAGTTAAGCTTCTTAATTTTCTTTAACATTATCTTTGTTTAAAAACTCACTTTTTCATTAATCATAGATGTAGAAATGATTTGTTGTATTTTCATCACTCAGAATTGTAGTGTTTGCAGTTGTTTTGCATCCACTAGATGTTGTATTTATGAAGTAATTTTTTAAATTACTTCAAATATTGCTAAATGTTAATATCTACTTACTGATTTTAAAAGGGATTAGAGAATTTTCATATTGATTCATGTTTTTGTTCTTTGTTTGTGTGTGTTTTACTGCTTCATTGGGTTAAAGTCCCTATAACTGGTAAGTGTATTACGAAGAACTCTAGAAAATTTTTCAAAGAAATATTTGAAATTATTATTACTGGATGTGTAACAAGGATACTGATTAGTACATTTACTTTCACTATTAGTCACATTATTAGGCAGTTGAATGAGGTGAAAATGTATTAAGATTAATAATATGTGATTATTCAAAAGACCTTGCTACTCATTGTATTAATGTATTAAAGCTTAAGCAAAACAATAGGCTGTCTGTTTCATACAAGAACATCATGTGTAAGATATGGAATATGGGTTATTTTGTGTTTCTTACTGAGACTTTTACAATTGTAAATAGTTTGCTGTTCCAACAGACCCAGTGAGCTCTGGAGTTTGTCCAGAAAGCCGTGACTACCTTATTACAACTTGGGTGGTCACATGGTGTCTCCCTAAACTTACCTGTTCTCTTTACTTCTCATTCTAAAGTGTATATGTTGGGATAGTGCCCAAATCAGTGGTTTGTAAATAAAATTTTATTGGGGAGATGTATATATTCTTTATGTCAGCCTATTGCTTGTGATAGTTCAACAAAGGTAGTTTAATTGAGAATGGTTTCATAGGAACAAGAGGCGGATGTGCTCATGAATTATGTTTTACTAGCAAAATGTCTGTGTGTAGAATAGTGGGAAGAACCTGAGTAAAGGGTGGGTTATTTACAAAATGTGATTTCAGTTGGGTGGCTAAGTCATAATAGAATCCATCAGGAGATTTTTGATTCATTATGGTATTTTGGGAGTGATTGCAAAAAATGCATTCATTCTAAAATGAAATGTAAAGATAAATGCAATCAAGCTTAAATTATAGAGGCACACAAATCTGATTGTGGGGTTCTTTTTTTTTTTTTTTTCCCTTCTCCAGGAAGAAAAAATGTTTATCATGGGGACAACAATTCATTTTTTGCCATATCCTATTTGTAGAGATGGTGATAGAACAGGCAAATGTACCAGCACTTGAAATATGTTTAACTGTTCATTAAATATCGCTTTCTACAGTCTGCACTATCATTAAAAACAAAACTTCCCTTAAGAGTGTACTTTCTCTTTTGTTAATGAGTATAGCAATATGATGCTTTTTCAAAATAACACCCCTTAAACATTTGTTTTTTTTTGCTTGTTTGTTTCATTTTGTTTTTTCTTTAAAATGGTAAGTTTAAATTTGAAAAACATAAGCATGCTTATCATTGTAACGATTAGTACTATGGACATTAAAATAATACTTATTCTTCATAGGTAATATGTACTTGTTCTTTTCTTCCTTCTTATTACAGAAGTAGACGAAAAAAGTTTCTTTTTACTTGATGCTAGCACGATTGGGATGGGCCTATACTTAAATGTGGGAGGTGGGATATTCAATTGATTTTACTTCATTGCAATATTTATCGAGCAATTGCTATGCAGGCACAGGGAAAAGAAAGAAAAACGTGACTATTTCTACACCCTTTAGAATTTAGAGTTGAGTAAAGAGAAAACACAAGGAAACATATGATTAAAATATAAGGGAAGTGAACGAGCATCTATGAAAACAGCAGGTTATCGGAATATGAAGCAGGAGGTCTGGATGAGTGGGGAAGGATTCCAGAGGAGATGTCCATGTGTTCTGCCCCAGACACATACCATAGTCTCGCTCACTGAAGAGTCAAAATACATTAGCAATAAAAATGACAACAACAACAACAATAAACCAGGAGAGCAGAGATTTAGTATAAATACATATGTAACCTAGCCAGTAGATACATTGAACAAGGAGTGATCCTGTACAATGCCCACATTTCCCATTGTGGAATGTATTGTGATAAGAAGCCCTACATGGTGTAGGGTACAGCAGTGTCACAAGGGCAATAGCATCAGACTTGTGGGCATGGGTTGTGTAGCTCAGGATCCTTGAGGGAAATTCCAATATGGGTGGGAAGGAGGTTTTTTTTTTAGTTTCATCAGTAATGAAAACACCTTTCCTATTGACAACTTGGCCCCATGGTCCCACTCTGCACTATGCTGACTGCAGATTCAAGAAAACTCAGAAACGCCTCCCACTTACACACCGTATAAAAGTGGATCTAATGTCTCCCTACCTTTCACAGTTTTGTTGTCTTGCTGCTGCACACGCAGTATGTTAACCTGAAACAATGAGGCTTTGTCTCTATGGAGATGCTGCCTTGGGTCTGTCCTGTCTGGAATGTCATTCTCTTCTTTCCTGTTATCAGAATGATCTTAAGGGCTTGAACTCTTTTTTATGTGGATATATATTAAACAAGATAACTTTGTTCTCTTTTTAATCTTCTCAAATCTGAAAAATGACAGATGAGAACCACAGTGCTCCAGCAGAATCCAGTCGTCTTCTAGATGTGCCTCGCTACCTCTGTGAGGGGACAGAATCCCCTTACCAGACAGGACAGCTGCACCCGGCCATCAGAGTAGCTGACTTGCTGCAGCACATTAATCTCATGAAGACATCAGACAGCTATGGGTTCAAAGAGGAATACGAGGTGAAAGTTTCTGTACTTTATAAATTTATATTTTTACCCAATAAGTTGTTGTTATCATTAGGTGCCATCGAGTCAGTATCAAATCATAGTGACTCTGTGCACAGCAGAACGAACACTGCCCGATCCTGGGTCAACCTCATAATTGTTGCCACACTTGAGCACATTGATGTTGCACTTTTGCCAATCCATCTCGCTGGGGGGGGGGTCTTCCTCTTTTTCTCTGACCCTCTACCTTACTAAACACGGCATCTTTCTCCAGCGACTGGTCCCCTCCTGACAGTATGTCCGAAGTATGAGAGATGAAGTTTGGCCTTCCTGGCCTCCAAGGAGCACTCTGGCTACACTTCTTCCAACACTGTATGCTGAGTGGAATTTGCCATTTTTTGCAATCATTTTAACATAACGAGGAGAGGAATACTCTGTAGACCTTTAATCCTTTGTTAATTGTATACAATCTTGTGTGGTTGTTTGTTGAGCTGGGGGAGGGAAAGAGAAATTAAAAGGGCACTTCCCATAGATTTATCTGAGGAAATTCATTGTGGGTCTAAATTCAGTATGGAGGGTCCTGAGGAGGCTCTGTAGGATAAGCATTGGACTGCTAACTCTAAAGTTGGCCGGTCAAACTCACCAACCACTCCTAGGTGGCTATACAGGGTTGTTATAAGTCGAAATCGACTTGATGGCACTTAACAACAACAATAAATTCATTATGGAGTCCTGGTGTGGCGCTGTAAGATAAGCACTGGACTGCTAACCACAAGGTCATCAGTTCCAAGCCACTTCTTAGAAACCCTGTACAGGGTCAGGATAGGAACCTACCCAACAGTACTCAATATCAACAATTTCATTGTAAGAGTTATAAAATGTTTTATTCCATAATTTACTGTGTTTTTAAATGCATTTTAGACCTTGTGTTTCCTCCCACTCAAAGATCTCTATTACGATACTTTGAATCCCTTTGTACCACTAGTGATTTTTGACAATTTGAGTAATTTAGGCTGTAAGCATTTCTCTGCCTCTTTGCTTGTTGACCCATTGATTGAGAAATCAGTGCAGGCTTTGTGTTCTAAAAGTATTAGTGGCTACTTCTTAGTTTAACTTTGCAGACTGTTGGTTAAGGATGGCTTGGAAGAAAAACAGTGCTGCAAATCTAGGAAACAACATTTAGATGCCAAATGAAGGATGTGGGAAACTCTTATCCAACCTTATTTTTCATTCTTCCTACCAAAATACCAGGATTGAAGTTGGAAAGGAAATGATATAATCTGGGCATCCCAATATATAAAATATAAAAAAGGAAAAGTTTCTTTGCCACCCTTCAATTACCGAGAACTACAAATCACGGACCTTAGAGGAAGTCCTACTACCACCATCCCCCACTTTGCCCCCAGGATTCTCACCACAAATAGACATTTAAAATCCAAGCATTATTTTGCTTTCAAAGACCTTCCAAAATACATACAACTTTATAAAGAATTTTTTGAACACACCAGATTACAGTTTGGGAAGTGAATGAAATTATTTTTGGATTTTGAAAGTTGCTTTTAGATGTATGTTGGAAACATTATGCTGTAGTAACAAAATAAGTATAAGGAATTAGAAATGTCTGCCAGAGTGAGTACTTTTTGTTCATTTCATCTATATTCCTGTGTATCTCGCTTCAAAGACTCTTGGGCTCTTTGAAGACCCCATTTCCTGTGTTGAGCAAAGTTTAAGTTTTTCTAAAAAGACAACTCTACCCACATTTTTAATTGCTGCATATGGTAATTAAACCAATCAACAGCTTCATCTGTTCCAAGATTCTTGGAGATGGTGACTTATTTTTATTTTCATATGGTCCCTTGTAGAAACTCAGTCCTTTTCATGATATTCAAAGAAACTAAAATGTGATGATTTAATGAATAATTATGGGAGAGAACAGGTTTTATTTTTCCTGTTATAAATGCTATAAAGTAAGTACATTTGAAAGACACTCATTAAAAGTAATTTTGAAGTTTCTAATGTGTTATTTTTTAATACCTTTGGAAATAGAGATGTTTTTTTCTCTACCTCCTTAAATTAAAGTATAGAGATCTTAAATTTGAAATACTTTCAAAGTCCTTTTTTTCTCTAAAATTATTTGTTGTCCTTAATTTGAACCGAATCCAATACTGAGATGAGTAAGTATGACCCCAACAAATAAGTGTTGAGATCTAAGAATGAAACATGCTTGTACTGTATGACTCCTTTCCTCCTTAAGAAAATGGCTTTTACTGTTTTGGTCTTCAGAACAGATAAATCTGATTCAAATAAGAAATAATTAAATTTAATCTGCTTTCACTTGTTTTTGTTTTCCAGAGCTTCTTTGAAGGACAATCGGCATCTTGGGATGTAGCTAAAAAAGACCAAAACAGAGCAAAAAACCGATATGGAAACATTATAGCATGTAAGTTCTCATACATCCTTTTTGAAAGTAAACATTGTCTGTACAAAGAGAGTGAGTTGCAATCCCTCCTTTTCCTGTTTTAGTTAAGCTTTAAGAGGTTCCTAGAGGGTGACACATCTTCTTATGGAGTTGTCTATTGAATATTAAAACAGCTTTGGTTACTGGCAATGACTTGGAAATTGTCATCATCCTCATTATTTAAATTGACTCAGACTTTTCAGCCTGTGGAGATAACATGCTGTTTGATTTCATGTTTGTACGTAAATGTATGGGGCTGTTTTAAAACAGCTGAGAATATCGAGATAATGAAGACGGAATATCCTGTCTAAATTATAAATTGCTACTCCCACTAAACATGCTCAAAGTAGAATGTTACTATTTCCACGGACCTTTATTCGCTTCAGGAGCTAGTGTCTAAACTCCAGTTGCTGCTCCATGTTTACTTTACTACCATCAAGGACTTCCTCCTGATTATGTCTTCAAGTAAACCTGGATAAATTAAGTGATTATCATCTGAGATAGTGGGAGCAGTAAGGAAGTAACAGCTTAACATCTAACTAGCTGCTGATTGACTCCAACCACTCTATTCACAATTTAAATTATTTAAAAATATCTTACAAATATATGATGTGATGGGAAATATTCATAATAGTGTAGTATGGATGGATAAACATTAGTTTGCTAATCACAGAGTCGCCAGTTCAAACTCATCAGCCACTGCTCAGAAACCCTGTGCAGGGGCACTATGACTCAAAACTGACTTCACTGTCACTTAACAACAACATATTATGATTGGCTACTATTTTAAGTCTCTACCTGCTGTGGTTCTGTACGATAAGCACTGGAGGTAATCCACATTTACCTACTGCTTCCTGAGAATGACTCCATGGCATTTAACAACAACAATTATTTTGTATCTCTGCCACTGTATACCATGACAATGTCTCAGACCAGGGTGGAAATTTAATAGCTGATATTTTGTTACTTAAAACTTTTTAGATGATCACTCCAGGGTAATCTTGCAACCTGTTGAGGATGATCCATCTTCAGATTACATTAATGCCAACTATATAGATGTAAGTACTTTCACAACTCAGGTTTCCGAGTTTTTGGAATTATCTATGTGAATCTTTTGTGCATGTTATTACCTATAAAATAATTGCTATCTTTTAAAAATAAAGAACAAACTGTACAGTTTTCCTTGTTCTACGTCCTAGTACTTACTGATGTTGTTGTGCTTTCTTTCACACCTGACTTTGGTTTGGGCTGTAGATTTGGCTGTACAGGGATGTAAGTACCACTATATGTAAATAACAGCACCCTATTATAAACATTTAATATAACTACTCTTAATTGCAGTTTTTACTAATGCTTATTACAAGTTACCTCTGCATGCTTCACCTAATTAGCCTCGTATGGTATATCTATGTGCATTTTTTTTTTGGTAATTCTTTTACATGTGTAAAGATCTATCCTACCTCTGGTCCTTTTCTGTGTCTAAAAATAATTGGATAAGTTTTAGCTTTTGACAACTTTTTATGTACTTGATTTTTATTTGTTGATGATTTCTGTTTCTGGTTTTAGTCTTACCCCTTCCACTCCCTCTTCCCTGAACAATATGTGAGAAGCTGGATAGTATGATGTGTATTAGTGTTTCTGAAATTATACTTTTAACATTTGACTTTTGATAAAAATGGATAGGAAGACTTTTATAGTGTGTATTGGCTTGTAAAGTAATAAAATTACTTTGCCAAAATAATTATCAAATTGCATTTGTAAAATACTCATATCACACATATATATCGAATCATACAAATCAAATAGTTAATTTTGATCTTATTCCACTGCTAAATTTCAGTTGCAAGTATATTGACATGCAAATTCTTTATTTAATAAAAATTAATTATCCAATAAAAGAGAAAATATTAAGGAGTCAACATATTAGTTGATCAGACAGGATTTTTTTGTAATCCTGCTTGGTTCCAAATCACTAGAGATCTTAGGACTGTTATTTCATCTCTCTTTGCCCCAGTTTCTTCATCGTTATAATGGGGATGATAACAGTACTAAATTCATCATTTTGTTGTGAGAATTGAGCCTATGGCGCTGTGGTACAATGCACTCGATCACAAGGTCGGCCGTTCAAATTCATCAGCTGCGCCTCAGAAACCCTATACAGGGTCACTTTGAGTAGGAACCGACTCAAAGGCACTTGGCAACAACAGTGCTTGTTAAGCGATTAGCACAATGCAAAGCACATAATAAGCACTCTTCATATTTTTTTTAATAATTAAAAGCTCTGATAGTATAGTGGTTACGAGTTAGGCAGCTAACCTCAAGGTCAGCAGTTCAAAACTACCAGCTACTCCACGGGAGAAAGATGAGGCTTTCTGCTCCCATAAAGATTTACAGCCTCGGAAACCCTGTGCAGGGTCACTATGAGTCCGACGGAACTGACTTCATGGCACACCAACACCACCAGTCTGAAATTATTGTATTTAAAATATGCATTAATTTTAAGTCAAAAGGTAGAACCATTGAGTATCAAGTATTGTAACACATTTGCATATTTGTATGTACATAAAAGTTAATGAGCTTTAGGACAAAACTTGTTATAATGTCCCTAAAGAAGAAATAATTTTCATCACATTTATTAAGTTTCTGTTTAACAAGGTTTTTTTCATGTATGAATAGTAATTTATATTGATTTAATGTATGCCAACAAATATGAGTATCTTGGTTAAATTTCTGATCATAGTCTGTATCTCATTCAGTGTTTCTAATTAATTAGACATCTCACTGAAATTATGCTAATTGTCTATACTTTTGAATTAGAATAACCAATAATTCTCTAACAAATTTCTAATGATTTTTCCATCTTTAGTTCACCTTTGGTTTTCTGCCATGACATATACAGTAGAGTCTTGTTATAGTACTGCTATGTGACTAGTACAAGGAGCTCTGGTAGCATAATGGTTACGAATTGGGCTGCTAACCTACTGATAGTTTGAAACTATCAGCTGTACTGCCAGACAAAGATGAGGCTTTCTGCTTCTGTAAAGATTTACAGCCTCGGAAACCCTGTACCAGGGTCGTTATGAGTCAGAACCGACTCCCGGCACATAACTACCACCATATGACTAATATGGTGGTATTAAATGAGACTGTTATCTAATCTTTCTCTTTATTCTGTAGTATATTTTGGCTGATTACTATACAATTTCATAATTGACCCTCACCGATTAATTTATTGTTCTTAAAAGACATACTCTGCAACTGGTAATTTTTTTACAAAAACAAAGAGTTAAAATGTTTAAGCATAGAATATAATAGTATTTTCCATAGAAGCTTGTGCAATATTGATATACTAATTAATAAGAAACTGCCAAATTTTGCAACAGCTACAAGAAATTTTAAGGAGCTCAGGTAGTGTAGTGGTTACGAATTGGTCTGCTAATCTCACAGTCCGCAGTTCGAAACTGCCAGCTGTTCCGCGGGAGAAAGATGAGGCTTTCTGCTCCCGTAAAGATTTATAGCCTCAGAAACCCTGTACAGGGTCGCTATGAGTCAGAACCTATTCCACAGCACATAACAACAACAAGAAATTTTGATTTAATGACCACAGTTTATATGCATATAAGTGTGTATTGAGTAGCCTACCTACCTCATAATGTAAAGAGACCTCGTGGCACAAACGGTTAAGTACTATCTGAAAGGCTGGCTGGTTGATGCTATCTCGTGGCTTTCCGCGAGGAAAACCTAGCAATCTACTTCTGTAAAGGTGACAGCGAAAAAGCTCTATGGGAAAGTTCTACTCTGCCACGTAGGGTGACTAAGTTGAAATTGACTCATTGGCACCTAACAATAGCAATCTCAAAATGCAGACAAATTGTGCCACGTGTTTTTACTAAAGACCTTTGATAAGTAGTATACACAAATTCAGAACTTAATCATGATCTGTTGGAATTAAAACCAATTAAAGGTAATTAACAAATTATTCCTTATGAGATCAATTATTTGATTGAAAAAATATTAAATTTAACCATTCAGAGTTCATGACACGCGTTTGAAAAGTTCTAACTACATTTTGTTCAAGATATGAGGCATTAAAATAAAACAACTCTTCTTTCCCTATATATGTGTGTATCTATAATACTTTATGTGTGAATTAATAATATTATCACATAGATAAAACCACTTTGACAGATTGCTGAACATATTATAGGACAGAAATGTTCTTTAAACTAATCTCAGCAGGACTTTGATTTAATGCACACCTGCATTGTCCAGCTCTAACATGGAATGTTCTGTTATTATTTTATAGTTCTAATATGTTGTCTATTTGTAAATGCAGTGTGTTGTATTCTTGGATGATTAAAAGAAAACTAATAATTTTGAATACAATTTTGCCAGGAATGAATGACGAAAGACTAACATGAAGGCATAAACATTTTAGTGAAAACAAACAAAATCTATTAGGTTCTTACAGAGCAAACAAAGCTCAATTTCAATATATATTCTAATCAGAGACTTTTAAATATTTAATTTTGTTTTATGTTTACCTTTCCTATAATCTAGGTTTGAGAAGTGAACTGTATGTGTTCACTGCTCATTTCTGGATTTTTTTCTATAACTTAATCTTAACAGGTGGTTGTCTGCATCTTTTTATGCCTTCATTCATTTATTTCCTATACTAGTGTAAAATGATAACCAATTTGTTTACTATTTTAGGGCTATCAGAGACCAAGCCACTACATTGCAACCCAAGGTAAAACTTAGCATCAAAAATGTTATGAAACAAACTTGTTTACACAAAGGATCCCTATAAGTGTCTGGGTTTGTGTTTGTGTATGTTTGTGTGTGTTTGAATTAACTGAATGAAAAACCAGCTCCTATATATACCATTGCTGTTTTTAATTTGTATGATGCAACTCCTTTTATCATAAAAATGAAAGAAAGACTTTTTCTTTTACTTTTTTTTTAATTGAATGTGAAAGAGAAGCTGTTGGTTGTTTGGTTTATTCACAGTATCCCAATATCTTAAGAACGTTTGTCAGCTAATCAGAAGAATTATTTATACCTGATAAAAGGAAAGAGATCTTATGTATACAGTGCATATATCTTTGCAGTATAGTTTGATAGCCTGGAATGCAATAGTACAAAGACCAATATTGTTATAATGAGATATGTACTATCTTCCAGCAATTTCTTGACAAGCCAAGATGACATTAAAGAGGCTAAACAAAGAACTACATGGAACTTAGTCACGTTCATTCTTTGTGGAAAATTAGAATCTTGCTATATAGTGGCACATTGGGGAAATAAAAGTATACTTAAAATAATAAAAAAACAAAAACCATTTAACTATTTCTTTAATCACTGGCCATCTAAAGAAAAACCTACACATCAATTAATTGAAGGGGAAATAAAGACATAAGCTATGTTTGCTCTTTTTACCGAGGTCATATTCTAAGTGTTTCTCATTTACTTTTGGAGTAATTGAGTTAATTGTATATTCTTTAAATTTGGAAAGGCCAACCAAGGTGATAACATGTAGCTCAGTACTTGCTTTTGCAGTTTGGAAATTATAAGATAAGGATGAGACCTTATCTATAAAGAGGAAAGGAAAAAATCTGTTAGTTTAGTTATAAAATTATTTTTTAGAACTTAAAAGTGACTATTTGTGTTAGATTTTAACTTGTCTTTTGGGTTTATTGACATTTTTCTCTTATATTTCAGTTTCTTTCTTAACTACAAAGTGGCTCTAAATCCATAATATTCAAATAAATTTCTTCATAGGTCCAGTTCATGAAACAGTATATGATTTCTGGAGAATGGTTTGGCAAGAACAATCTGCCTGCATTGTGATGGTTACAAATTTAGTTGAGGTTGGACGGGTAAGGGAATCAGATTTGTGTTTTTTTTTTTAACTTTGTATTGTAAATTGAAGTTTTACACAACAGATAATAATAAGATTATGACTGTAAATTCCAATAAGCCAAGTCCCCCCCCATCCAAAAACATAATAGACTTATAAGAGAGTATTATTCAATTAAAAAAAAAAAACGAAGAAAAAAAAAAAACACCTTACAGCCAAGCCTTAATACTTCAAATCGGTGCTCCTAAGTATCTTAATAATTATTTGATTTATCACTGAGTAGTAATAGAAACTTTTACTTCCTACTGAAATTGAATTACACTATGACTCATATATTTCTCAAGACCGATAAAGTATTTTCATTTATTGTGTAACATATTCTTCTGTTGCATTTACCTTTTGTAAATGCAAACCTTATCTTTTTGTTGTGATCCAAATTGTTATTACTGAAATTAAGTCATATTGCTTAATGATCTGCTCACATGTTTCTGTCTGTTATTGTTACCATTTAGGTAAAGTGCTATAAATATTGGCCTGATGACACTGAAGTGTATGCTGACTTCAAAGTCACGTGTGTAGAAATGGAGCCACTTGCTGAATATGTCGTTAGGACATTCACCCTCGAAAGGGTAAGTTACCTGAAAACTCTATCAAAAATATCAGCACTGAACTGTGAACCACAAGATCAGCAGTTCAAACCCACCAGCTGCTCTTCAGAAACCCTAACCAGGGTCGCTATGAGTCAGAATGGACTCAACGGCAGTTAACACAACAACATTATAGGCAGATAGATAAGCAAAATAAGTAAACATACGATAAATTACAAGTGTTATGGATAAAATAATGTTAGAAATGGAAGTAAGAGGTATTGTTGAGTTAGGGTTTGGGATAGTTTACAATTTTGAAAGACTATCAGAAAAGGACTCGTTTAGAAAGTGACATATGAGTAAAGAAATCCTGTGGGAAATGAGGAGGTGAGTCATAGGTTATGTCCAGGGAGAGACTGTTTCTAGGAGAGAAAGGAGTTTAGTTGTCTTGAGAAATGAGTATACTTGTCATCATAAGAAACAGCAAAGAAGCCAGAGTATTCACAGAGGGGTGAGTGAAGTGGGGAGAGATAGAAATGAAGTCCGAGAGGTCACAGGGCCAGATAAATGACGCCCTGTGGGCCACTGTGATGACTTTTGTTTGTAATAAAAGTCAGCTGGGCAGTCATTGGAGGTTTTGAGCACAGGAATAACATGATCTGACTTTTTTTTTATAAACAGGATCATTCAAGTCATACTGATAAAAGACTAAAGCAGGATGGGCCATATAAGATTAAAGTTGAGATTTGGAAACTAGAAAACATAGTGCTGAGGAAAAGCTTCATAGATTTGACCACTCAAAAACATAAAACTTTCTGTATCAAAAGTATTAAAAGATGCACACATAAAAAGAAACTTGGGATTATTAATGTATTTAAATCATATAATTAATATAAATGGATTAATAATAGAACTCCATTAAAATGCAATTGTTAACATGCCTTTTAGGACTGGTAGCCTCAAATACTGATCGACTATTTTGTACTTTAATATTAGCAAGAACCTTATGAAAATTATGATTTTTTTTTAAGGACATGTGAGACATGTTTTCAGAAGTTGCTTATAACATTTAAATTAACATAAATCTACTATAAATCAATAAAGCATTGTGTCATTGGGGCTTTAAATATTGCTATACTTTGACAAAGTTTGTCTTCTATCAATGTGGCTTAAAGATTTTATTTTTTTAATTCTTTTTTTAACTTCAATTGTAATTTGAGTGAAAATAGGATTTTTTTTTTTTTTTTTTTAAACAAGGACTTGGAAAATTAGATTATTGTCATTAAGTGTTGTCAAGTTGGTTAAAACTCATTGTGACCCTGTGTACAACAGAAGACAGCACTCGGTCCTGTGCCATTTCAATGGTTTTCCGTATACTTGAGCCATAATTGCAGCCACCATGTCACTTCATCTCCTTCAGCTTCTTACACTTTTCCACTGACCCTCTACTTTACCTAGCATGATGGCCCTTTCCAAAGATACCTTTCCTGGTGACATGCCAAATACATGAGACAGAGTCTCACAATCCATGCTTCTAAGAAGCATTCTGGTTGGACTTCTTCCAAAACAGATTGATTTCATTTTTCTGAGTCCATGGTACTTTCAATATTGTTTGCCAACACCATAATCCATAGGTATCATTTATTTGGTCTTCCTCACTCAAACTCACCAGCCGTTCCTCCGAAGCCCTATTCAGGGTCACTATGAGCTGAAATGTCTCGATGGTGCTTAGCAACAACAATAACAGCAATTCATTGTCCAGCTTTAATATGCATATAAGGCTATTGAAAATAGCCTGACTTGGGTCAGGCACATCTTAATCCTCAAAGTGAAAAATTATACATTTCCATAAATGCACAGTAATAGCCAAATAGTTAAATTATTATAGACATGACATAGAAATACCATTCTTTATAAATTGTATTTGTAATTAGCAGAAAATGATGTTGAAAAAGTATTAGGGGAAATATTAAATGAAAAGTAATATAATACAGGACAGCATAATGGCAACTATCACATCTAAATAAAATGTATATAAATATTCTTATGTTTTGTTCAGTCCTAATTGGAATATCATTCACTGTTTATTCTTTGTTTTACTATTTGGAATTGGAACAGAGTGGTTGAAAATTATTGTTTGTTTCTTGTTTGGGAAATCATAGATTTGAAAATTACTCAGGAAAATTAAAAATGCTAAAGGAAAATGCACTACCAGATAATAAAATTTACTAAATGGGACCAAACCCCATGCAATCACTGTAGCAAAAATGTCAATATAGGGAAGGCAAAATAATTGTCAAAAATTGCCTTCAAACAATTTATGACCTTTCTCACTAGAATGATCTTAAGAGTAATAAAGACGGTGAATTTTCTATTTCTTGATTTCATGATGGTGTTTAATACTGTGACCATTATAATTATTTGTTGAACCCTGCTTTGCATAGTGTATTGTGCTAGGAATTAAAACATAGAATAGTTGTAAGTAAGACATGATCTCCGACTTCCAAGATCTGGAGGATATTAATCTGTATTGTAAAGAATATACAGATATGCTACTCATCTAAATTTTATTATTTCCTATAATTTTCCTACCTTTTCTAATTGAGCTAAGGAGATGGAAATTTCACAAATACTTCATAGTGGAGTTGGAATTATATAGATTATGTTTTCTTTTCTAAAAAAATGTAATTTTAAAAATAAATTCTTTGCTTCCTCGTCTCTGCTCTCCAAGCTGTGCTACCACAGTCTCCAGGCTTCTTGTAACAAAATGCTTTGAAATGTACATTTAAAGGGTTCTCTCACATTAACCTAAAGGAGAGGAGTACAGCAGTGCTTGCTGAGCTTTTTTCATTTTGTGTTTTTGTTGCTATAAATAATATGCTGTATGCTGAATTATTTCACAGAGCTAAGAAAAACTGTTTGCCCAAAGAACAGTTTAGCTGTCTGTATATTTTCACAAACCAATCTAGAGTGGTACTGTCCTGGAAAATCCCTACATGTTATGCTTCAAAACCATTTTCAACATGGATAAGCAAGGCATTAAAATCTTTTTGTGAGGTGAGAAGCTAGAAAGTTGCTTTTATATACCACTTGAGAACTCAATGCACTGGGTCAATAGGGCAGCATTTTAGCTTCCCCATTTTCCCTAATCATTTCATGTGTTGTCATTCCCAGTAAGGAACAAACTGTCAAGGTATATAAAATTTACCCAGACTTTAAGAATTGAGCAAGACTTCTAATTTTCTTCATTTGGCAATTGTGTGACAATAAAGGTAAGCTCCTAAACCTTGTCAGGTCAGCAAGCTTTTTCAGACAAAAACAAACAGCGTGATCTTGCATATATTTTTCTTTAAATTGTTTTATCGTTGTCCATCAAATCTAGTACTCATGATTATATATATAATGACTTTATTTTAGTTCTTTTGAAAACACTGCTTTCCTTCTTTGTACAGAGAGGATACAATGAAATCCGTGAGGTTAAACAGTTCCATTTCACTGGCTGGCCTGACCATGGAGTTCCATACCATGCTACGGGCCTTCTTTCCTTTATCCGGCGAGTCAAGCTGTCAAACCCTCCCAGTGCAGGCCCCATTGTTGTGCACTGCAGGTGAGTGAGGATCCCAGTGGTGTCAACTGTTTGCAGCCAGCTTGTCTTAGAGTAGGCAGATAAGGCTTTGAAGCCCAAGAACTATTTATTGTGTTTCTACAAAGTCCCAGCTTACATGTATAATGTTATTGTTGTTGTGAAGTGCCATCGAGTTGGTTCCAACCCATTGCGACCCTGTGTAGGGCTTTTGAGGAGTGATTGGTGAGCTTAAACTGCCGACCTAGTGGTTCAAAACTGACTTTGCAGTTTGGCGCATTACCCCACAGCGCCACACCAGGACTACTTCACCTATTATGTTGTTGTTGTTAAGTGCCGTCGAGTCGGTTCCGACCCATAGCGACCCTGAACAGGGTTTCCGAGGCTGAAAATCTTTACGGGAGCAGAAAGCTTCATCTTTCTCCCGCGGAGCAGCTGGTAGTTTCAAACTGCTGACCTTGTGGTTCGCAGTCCAATTTGTAACCACTATGCTACCAGAGCTCCTTTATAGATGAAGTAAAACAGCAGTAAGAGTTAGTTTTTAAAATAGAAACTTTAGAAATAAATGCATTTATCTTAATGTGTGTAGCATTGTCCACAGTTGTGAATGTAAAAAACTCTTTTAATAGCAGTATCTGTGTTGTGTGTGTGTGATTTTTTTGTCACTTTGGAAAATCCCGTATTGTATGAGATGATAGCCTGAAATAGGTTTCTTGCCAATTTAGTAAAATCTCAATAGAATCCCCACTTAAAAAACCAAGTTTGAGACATACAGAGTTTCTAAGTGGTCTAAATTGCCAGAATTTGTGCAGCAAAACAGCAATTTAAGAATTTTTTTTAATAGAAAAAGATAGAAAGTCATCCATCAGAGGACCTTGACAACTACATCCATAAAATCCAGCAAATTTATGCTCATGAAATGTGAAAATTATATCTAGACTTTCTTCTGATTAGAAATTTCTTTTAAAGCAAGCATTCGGAGACATTTTAAAGTACATCACATGGCCTAATTTTAATATGTGACCAGGAAAATAAGTACTGAATCTGAAAAGCTTTTCCTAAATTCTGCACACCATTCTTGTACAACTAGCCCCCACACTACATTATAGGTTATAGGTACGCTTTTGTGGGGTTTTTTCTGTTTTGCTGAAAATTAACCTCTCATAATTGAGTAAAGAAAACATAATTTACTCTCATAATTGAGTAAAGAAAACAGATTGAAATGACGGTGAGACATCGCATAAGGATCAGGTATTACGTACCCTGAAAAGGAAAATCTTCAATTCACTCCTTTTCAAGAAATCTGATGTACTCTTCAATTACTTTCCTGTCTCAAACCCTGGGAAAAGTGATTTAGAAGATGGTAAGGGAGGAAAGAGCTAGAGATAGCTGCAAGGTCTTTTGCTTAAATTTCTAAATATGCAGTGAGTTTAAGAGAAGTGACCAAATCTCTGTAACAAAGGAATAATGTTAATAGCTCATCTAAGCATTTGGAAAATGAGATAAACAGGTTTCAATTCAGGGATTATATGATGTATCACAGAGGATTGTTTTCTTATGAATCACTTGCTTTAGAAATGCTCCAAGATTCTCAGATACTCACTCAACACAGAAGGTTCATTTTCCACTTAAACTCGGGTGTCTCTGGAATTATGGAAACGAAGAAGGTGACTACAGAGTGCATCTTCCCTTGCCAAACAAAGCTCTATCCAGTTTCCTTTATAGACTTACATGGATGCATTTAACTGGAGAAGCATTTTTAAGGGGAGAAATAATCAGCATATAATCAGGTATACTCAGGGATATTGCAGGTTTGGTTGCAGGCCACTGCAATAAAGCAAATATTGCAAGAAAGCAAGTCAAATGGATATTTTGATTTTCAAGTGCATTTATAGAAGTCCTGATACAACACTGTAGGATAAGCACTGACTGCTAACTGAAGGCCACACTGTATGAGGCATCTAAGGAGTGGCTGGTGAGTTTAAACCACAGCCCTTCTGGTTAGTAGTCTAGTGCTGATCTTACGCTACCATACCAGGATGGTTTACACTGTACTGTAGTCTATTAAGTGTACAATGACATTATGGAAACATTTGAAATATTGTGAGAACTACCAAAACATGGCACAAAAACAAAGTGAGCACATTCTAGAGGAAAATGGTGCCGATAGATTTGCTCAATGCAGAATTGCCAATCAACCTTCAGTCTGTAACAAAGACAGTATCTGTGAAGCACAACATAATGAGATATACCTGTTTATTATGATTCAACTTTTTTTTTTAATGTTTTATTATGAATTATGTGATCATTTACATGGGAGAACATTAGTTTTACATTCATCCTATCATATATCATTTCATTGCCATGGTTACAATCCCCTCCATGCATCATCAACCAACCAAAGGTTATATCCTGTAGG